TGGTTTTCATAGTGTTGTTTTACCTCTTTCATTTCCGTTTTTATCTCGCTGACTTTTTCTTCTAACATTGAGAGTTTTTTATCGATGGATAACGTGACCGCCTCGGCTACACTACCAGTAATTGTTGTTATAAATGGCCGGTCTCTCAGGAACTTCGACATGGTATTATTAACTGCCGATTTTATTTCATCAACAACATCTCGCGTTAGAACCATTTTCTTAGATTGCACTTTTTACTAACTTTAATTTAGGGGTATCTGGCAGGGGATAGCAACTGTAATAAGTGTCCGGCAATGAATGACCAGATTTCTAAAGATATCTCGAAGGAAATATGAAAAATGAGCCTCATACTTCAATGAATTTCAGGTACTATTTTATGCACCTTTACTACATTACCTGCCCAAGTAACAACAACCCAAACTCTATAGTCCCTGATGGTTCCTACCTGTGTAGGGGACATGCACAAAAAAACTTTCAGCTTTTATTAAATAACAAAAGTCTGGCCATCATGGGCTCTTGCTCTACTATTTAAATGATAATTTTGGAAAACAATGTATACTTTGGAATATTGCATCGAGTTCAAGGCTTAACGTTGTCAAGATAAGACATGTCTAAAATAGTGTTTTCAACTGTTTTGTTAACCTTTTCCTTTGAGACCAATTTAACGGTAATCTGTCACGAAGTATTTCACCTATAAATATTGCTTAGTATGGAATACATGATTAATTTAGTAATTCCAAGTGATCAGAAATGATGCATTCCGGACATTTTATTTTTGTGATGATCTGTGTCGCAGTTTATTCAAGAGGTAGGTGACAGATAATTCAGAATGAGAATCATAATGAGGATAATAACATATGAAATAGATTATGTGTAGTAGTGAAATTGGTGTCAGTTATTTCTGGAATTCTTTCTTAAATTCTATTGCGTCTAAACAATCCGAACAAAAACACAATGCTGCATATGGACGGCAAGGCATTAGGTAGATACAACATGGTATGCGCTCATCTTACATTTGCACAGATTCCTTGCGGTACCCAACAAAATATTGAGATGCCCTGAATAACTGATACCACTCTGGCAGACACACTTCACCGTAACATCTGGTAATGCTGGTGTCCAAACAGGGTGGGTCGCATTCAGGAGGGGTGTATTTCAGGGCGATTTCCGCAGTCCCGTTCTCGTCTGCATCTCTCTATTGCCATTATCTGTCACGCTCAGAAATACTCGAGAGTATTACTGTGTCACCCCTGGAAATCGAAGACAGGAAGTCACATATTTGTTTTATACGGATGATCTTGAACTTTATGTATCTGAAGAAAAAATTCTCTATCAGACCGTAAGGGTGATGGAAGAGTACACTCATGCTATCGATGTGAAATTCGGAATAGACAAATATGCAATGGTCCAGAACGATGCAATATGCAGCTGATAGACGCATAATCTGGATGCCGGAAAGACGCTACTCACAAACTCCGACAGATCTGGTCATCGAAACTGTCGGGGAAAAACAAAGTTGCTGCAACTAATACACTTGACGTTTCAAACTTACCCTCCCCATGTGGAGTAGTGATGTGGACTCGGAAGGAGCTGTATGTATGAACTCGACGTGATAACCCGAAAAATGATGCACCTCTATAGGAGTTTGCATCCCGAATCATCCCAACCACGGTTGTTCTTCCTCCGACAACAGGGAGGTCGTGGATTCTCAAGTTTGAAGTGTCTGCATGACAGAATAATACTACATGGCGCATCCAAAAAATACAAATATATGTCTTGATTTATGATGTACTGTTTGGAACCTTTGGTGTAGTAATGAATATTACTGGAGTTTTTCCCAACACCAAATCGTTATTTTTATACCCCGACACGTGTTTCGATCACCAAGTGATCATATTCAAGAGGAAGATGAAACTCTTGAAGATGATCACTTGGTGATCAAAACACGTGTCGAGGTGTAAAAATAACGATTTGGTGTTGGTAAAAAACTCCAGTGATATTCATATGTCTTGATCCTGAATCTTCTGGCAAAACCCTAGGTTTCCACTCTCGACGTAATTTACGTTTTATAAGGTTAATGCAACTGCACATTAAATAGAAACGATTTCGTAATCGGAATAAACTCAAGGATTACGTTGCAGGTTATATTTGCATTATCATTAAAGCTTTCCATTTAGAGCTCGTTTCTGATCCCACTACGGAAGCTTTCTTGGCTAGTATTAAGCGCTTTTTTGCTAGGAGAGGAAAGTCTTTTGAAATCTTCTCTGACAACGGGACTAACTTTATCGGCGCTGACCGTGAGTTGCAAACCTTATTCAATTCAGCTGATTACGAAACCTCTATAAAGCAACATTTTGATAATGAAAGAATCACTTGGCATTTCATACCACCCAGAGCTCCTCATTTTGAAGGACTTTGGGAAGTTCAAAAAACATTTACTTCGCACTGTCGGAGATACATTACTCACATATGAACAATTAGAAACATATTATATAATTGAGATCAAAGCGATATTGAATTCTCGTCTTTTATCCCCTTTATTCTCGGAACCCAACGACCTTTTACCTATGACTGCCGGTCACTTTCTCACTGTTGCTCCATTGACAAGCTGTCCAGAGGCATAAAGAATATCTAAATAACCTTATCAGGTCGCATCAATGTTCTAAATAAACTAGAAGGATTCAAGTTGGAGATTTGATTCTGATCCATGAAGGCAATCTTCCCCCACTTGTTTGGTGCATTGGAATAATCCCTAAGAACTAAGAATGGCAAATACAAGCGCTGTACTATGAAACTGTGCCCTCTATTATTTTTTTGAACTTGGACAGTTCAAAGGTAGCGGCATGTTCGGTTTCTCTATAAATAGTTAGATTTTCCATTCCTTTATTGTTCCTTCTGTCCCTTATTTTGGGACTCACCCAATATTATGACATTTCCTACCTATGTTAATCCAAATTTCTCCCTACAATAACCAAGTTAAACCCCCTCTCTAACTACCTAGGGAAATATTCAATTCATAAAATCAATTCATTACCATTTGAACCTTGTAAGAGTACAGTCAGAATAAATCTTGTCTTGTCTACAGTATATCTCACCAGTTATTTTTCTTATCCTATCGTTTCACAACAGTTGATGTAATTCTTGTGTGCATTAATCATTCATACTCACGATGAAATTATCGTGGGTCAAAACAAACCAAGTTTTGAAAGGGTATTGATAAATAGCCATTCATAGTAGGGCACTCCTACTATGATTTCTATGATAGGTAACAAAATATTATCGTTTCCTTTTTTATTTTCATAAAATACTAAGGTATTAGTTTTTATAGAAGTGTTTTCTGTTATGTTGAAAAATAAAAGTTTTTTTTTAATAGCTTCACGGTATTATCATTTTCATTCATGACATTTTGCATATAACCTCTTTTTTTTATTTCCATTCATGATTGAGGTAATTATGTGAACTAACATATTGGTCCTTGTATTCATTAGGTATTTGGTATAAGCCTTATTTCCAGTTCGCATCATTTATTTGATATTATAAGTTACATAAGGTAGTGTTTCACGGGTTTTATCAAATATTCGAACCGGTGCGGTGCATGTTTATCAAATGAATAAAGGATTTAGTCATTTAGAAACGTTACTTTGGAGTACAAATCAGTGAAATTATTTATTTCATAACCTACGGTAGATATCAGCAACGTGATGAAAATCGTTATTGCAAAAATTTTTACAAAAAAATGTATTTGTCACGTGTATCGACACCTTTCAGATCAACATCAGTACATACCACCATATACTATCACATACTATTCAAGTCAATAGTTTTGGAGTTCCTCACGAAAACTTCTTAGGGATACCGAGTTAGATTTTTCACAATTTTATAAAGACCCAAAGTGGATGGATTGAGAAAGTCTTGCATCTCTTGTATTGATTGATAACAAGTTGTGTACATATCACCCACTAACATAATTATTCTCGTTTCGAAGTAAACACATCATGAATACTAACACTTTTATGATATGTGATGAAAATAAGAAAAAAATATATGAATTATTCCTAAACGTTTGTCCAGGTTTTCAGTGTTGTCAAGTGAAAAATGACGGACGACTTGAAAATTTGATTTTCCATTTCAGGTTGTTATACCACTAGTGCTTGAATTATTGAAGTCACAAATTTTCATGATACATCCAGGAGCAAGAAAAAAATCCAAAGTAGAAATGATATACTTATGTACTCGTAATAACCTTTTGTGACTGTTTTTTATGTATTGTCATATAGTTTGATGAAATAATGAAGGCAATGGGAAAGAAAGGTTTCAATATTTAATTGAAAGGGGTATATTTTTAGGGAAGATTAGTTCTTGTTAAAGACAGGCTTTCTACTTCTTCATCTTTATATAAAAAAATGTCATTATTTTTAAAAATTTGACAGGGTCGTTTGGAGTAGTCACTAAATGAAAAAAAAATTGTATAAACAGTTATAAAAAAGTTATATAAAAGTAGTTGCTTTGAAAGCATTTTTGCTTTCGTGTAATTCAATGTTCATATGAAAGTGTTTGTTTCCAGAGGGATTTTTAAGTTTGTGTCTGAAAGTTACTTCTTGCATGAACTACACATCTTTGCATATGATTTTAAAATTCATTGTTTTCTTCCTTCTTTTGGAAATTACCCTCATTTCTTTGTATCAAGATGAAAAAGTAGGAAGCCAAAACCTTTTTCTCAAAAATTATTCTCTCCTAAAAATATACCACTTCCAACTCATCCACATGTTGTCGCAGGAGTGAAATGATTACTGCAGCTTTCATGTCTTCAGCTGAATAGTTTTCAACTCGGTGACCGAGCTATGATTGCCTTGTTCAGTGTCGAAAGTTATATCAAATTCATTAGCTTTGCGGCTCGAATTTCGAGGGTACCACAGTTATACCCTCAAGTATTGCAGATCGAAAATAGTAATGATAGTGAGGCAAGAAAGGGGTGAGAAAGCCATGAAATGCATCCCTTCTGGCAGTGTCCTTCAGAGTGGTATTACTTGTTAGGTACAGCAAGGCATCTGGGCAAGTGCAGAAAAAGCTCATGCGATGTTGTATCAAATGCATTGCGTTAATAGATCCAGATCATAGAGGGCTTATGCCAGTACCATATTGAGTCCTGCAATACACATCTATCGATGAACAGCTTCTTACAGCTAGCGCTACCTACTCCTCTCTTCAAGCCTCTCCATTCATATATCCGTTTGTTCGAATACTTGGTCAACTTCGTAGAGTATTCGTGTGTATGAGATGTTCGTAAAAAGTGTCATGAGTTGAAAACTCCGGCGAGATAGCGGTAGGTCTTGGGTAGTTTTTCCCACCAACAGATTTTCAGCTCTTCTGAGGTATCAGCAGCAAAGTTCTCGAACTCATAAGAGCTCTTCGAACGTCGTGTGGAGTTATCAGGCTAAGGCTGAGTTTGTGCTCAGGATATAAAAATTATCTGTAGGAAGCTTCGAACTACGCTAGGACTGAAATGTCTATGTTGAGTGACTATGGATGATCATAGATATCCTTCCAGAAGAACGTTTATGATAAGAAGCAAGATGGTATAGTCGATTGGCGAAAGGTCTGGGGAGTATTGTAGGTGAGGCAGAACTTCGACGTTTCATTCTTTCAATTTTAGGACGGTTATTTGTGAAAGTTGAGGATGAGCGTTGAAGTGGAGCAAGGTCGAACCTTTTCTGTTGATCAGTGCTGCTGACGCATTATTCGGTATATCTAATCAATTTATCTCCGCTATGTTGGCCCGATTGGAGAAAGTTATAATGATAGTGAATC